ATGCCTTTGTCCACTTTTTAGCCCTTTTCAGACATGTGCGTTTGATCTTTTCTTTAGTTCCCTTAGCTATGGTGGCATTGCTGTTATTCATGTGGGCTTCAAACTGGCCTCAGATCTTTATATTTGTAAGCTCACTTTGACGCTTAGAGAGAAGTGGAAATGGACACTTAAGTCCGAGGTTGCTAGCCTCAGTTGGCTCAAGCCTACTTATGCAGGTTGTGCTCTTCACCTTTGTGCTTTTATCTCAGCCTTGTTTTATTATTGGGTGCTTTGCTTTTTGCATTGTGCATTTGCATTAAGTTACACAAAGTTATTCTTGACGTTCACATACAGTATAAATGGGATATTGGGGTAGTGGACGCACATGTCTCACGTGATATTTGAAGGGGAGGTTTGTTTTCCATTCCTAAATATTAACTATTAAACCTTACAACATTGCAGGAATGCTAGTATATGAATGTGGTTTCAGTGAACGTTTCACACACCCTAGTGGCATCATTAAAAAGTCGTTTTTCTACCCTTTAAGCTTGATACACGAAGTACGAAAGGAGATGTGTGAATGTCGATCCATTTGGAGTCCCAGCCACAATTGCTACTGCTGTTGTAGCAGACTTTGCAATGGCGAAGGATGTTGTTGCGGACCCTATTAGTGAGTTTTCCTGACTTTTCAGTGATCCCCGTCATCACATTGCTTCTTTTTCCATCAGAGTACGCTGTTCTGTCATTTAAACATTTATGCCGCAGTGGTATTTTTTGCGCTAAATTTCCGCGCTCTCAAATAGTTTAGTTTAGTTAAGTCACTGATTTTCTTAATCCTACACTTTGCTTAGATTGTAAACGTCCATCTAGGTAAGCAGTGATGCATATCTAACCCTCTTTGCCTAGGTATGTCTGTTTTGAGGAAAGGAAATTTGGAAATACTTGGACTCGATTAGAAATTTTTCCTTCTCCAACTTGTTAATAAACCTGGGTCCATTTATCGACAAGTTTGTTGGGAGGATTTATGCAAAATGCTGCATTGAGAAATTGTCAAACTGGACTACGTATGCATAGTTTATCCCACCCATGAAGGTGGTTTGTATCTGACCATTTAGTTAGTTTGCATAACGTTCTGTGAGGCATTGATGATTAGGTTATTTCTCGAAGAGCATAAGGTACGTGAATGCTGCAGCAACACTGAGTTGATGCATAGATTGCTTTCCCAGCCTCATTCGGAAGCGAAATCTGGTCGTTTTCAGTGTGTTTGA